GGCTGGCTCATTAAATCCCCTCTTCCTTTCACCCTGCTGCTGCAAGCTGGGTTTCAAAGGCCTGCCCTGGCGCTCTGGGATCCAGCAGGCAGTGGGGAGCCTGGAATGCAGGAGCAGCAGTTGGCACAGGGGTCTTTGCTCCTGTGTGGCAGCAGGGCTGCAGCTGAGCTCCTGCTCGCTTGCAAGGGGAATCCAAAGGCTCCCACGACATTGAGCCCCTCTGAGTTTAGCTGGGAAGGGTGTCATGCACATCCTTTGCTGAGGGTGCTCCTGGAGCCGCACGACTATCACTGCTTTGAACACAGCTGTTACTCAGCAGCACTTGGCCACAGCTAGAGGGATTTTCTATGTGGTGAGCAGCCACCAAACCTAATCTCATGCCAGAACTAGGAGCCAGCCACAACCTAAAAGGAGAACACGGACACATTCTCTTCAAGCTCCTTCAGCATGAGCCAAACCAAGGGGCTAAAGAATCTCCTCCAAGCAAACTCATTTTCTTTCTGCCTTCAGACTTTGAATATAGTGTGTCCTGCAACTCCTCCCCATCCAATCTCAGCACGTGTCATAAGCACACTTCTACCCACCTGTGGTAACTTTGACTGGTTGGAAATTTTCTAACCTCATTTTGAAGCCCACGTTCTCCCTCTGTAGGGAGGAAAACCAGCTCTGCCTGCACGTTTCTTCTTGTAATCTAAAATAAGTTCCACATTAAGCCTCACCAGCTCTGTATTTGTGTGCAGGGAGAAACAGGAAGAGAAATTTAAGAACAGGAGCAGAAGCACAAAGAAAAAGAGAACGCCTTGCTTCATTGCTATTCCCTGCACCCCTTCATGGGTCAGATTATCTGTCTGAAGTACTTCACGCTTGAACAGAGAGGGATCTAGAGAGCTTGAGGAGTTTCTGAACACCCAATCCATTGAGAGCTGCATGAATTTCCAGACTCTGCCAGTCAATATTTAGATACCCAAAACTTTTCCAGCATCAAATGACTGACTTGTGATCCCTGCACAGCCACCGCTGCCTGCAGAGGAGATCAGCCATAAGCCATGTCCCCACATCACCCAGCTGGGTCATGCCAGTGCAAGCTCAGCTGTGTTTTCTCACCGTGTCTTGCTTAGCAGCAGTAAGTCACAGGGAGGTAAAGAAGGGCTGAGCTGCAGACCTCTTTTCTTTGAGCACCTGGAACTCGACTCTGGTTGGGACCTGAGGTGGTTTTTGCTTACTGAGAAGGACAGCTCTCTTTTGGTTATTGAGATGCACTTGCCAGAACACATTTTTGTTTGTTTGCTTTTTAAACACATCAACCTCCTATCACCGGTGCTCTAGTTTTCAGTAGCATCTGCTGCACTCCTGACTTTCAATCTCATTCCTGTCAGAGCCTCCTCACCTTCTCCTCACTTGCAGCAAACACAAGTGTTGTGCCTCCAGCAGAATAAGGAAAAGAAAGGAGAAATGAAAGCAATGGCTATTCCACTCTCCCTGGCAATCTTTGCGGTAAGTATCTTGCTATAAAAGACACAGCATTCCCACCTTCTTCCCCTGTTATTTAAATTCTTCTCACAGCCTTGAATGCCACTGAGATGAGTGCACCTGAGAGCACAGCCTACTTCTGTCACCCAAGGTCACTGTGTGCTTGTGAAGCATCTCAGACCAAGCTCTGCATACACACTCTGCTTTCAGCACTGACTCTAACACAAGCCTCCAGCCATACTCCATGAAGGCTGAGAAACCCAGCACTCTTTTTGAACAGGGCCTAATCCCCTTGCAGTAAATGAGTTTTCTCACACCCAGCATAAACATCTTGTTTTCAAGCCTCCTTATTGAAATGGAGATGCTAACTATATTTACCCCTACTTTGCAGATTTTAGAACAAAACAAAAACAACAAAACCCAGAACCTGTTTTCCTCATGCTGGAGGAACAGGGTCTGGCATCTCCTGCAGGCAGCTGCAGATGCATGGAGAAACAGTGGAGCTCTCACCTGCCCGCAGAATTAATGATGAAGAAACCAATGGGAGCAGCAGCTCTGGGAGAGGACCTTATCCACTCTCGGGTCATTTCCACAAAGAGGTTTGAGGTAGGGGTGCAGTCAAGAAGAACTCAAGGGTAAGCAGAGTTCGCTTAGCATTTTAAGCAATGCAAAGTTTGCATTTTTCATGATACATCAAAATAAGAACAAATGATCCTGCCAATTTATTTATTGCAACACCTCTGAGTTAGCAAAAGATGCCTTTGTTACCCCCACAAAACGACCTTAATCATTTTTCTCCTCTGAAGTGCCAGATGCAAAAAAAAGATGTTGGTTCCAGCACTACAGTGTACGCTCTACTTAGTACTGGTGGCAGAAAGGAGCAGGAAGGGCTCACAGACCTGACTGAGTACTCAGTTGGATCTTTCTCCGTTTTGGCTTTGGAGTTTAGCCTGCAGGAAGAAATAAATGTTACTTGTATAGAAGATGGATGTTACCTCAGTGGGCAGAAAGGCACTGCAAGTTGTTCCACAAACCATATGTGGTTGCCAAGCTCATGGTCCCACCTGAGCCCACTCATCGTGACTGTCACCCTGACAGGCAACCAGGTGACTGACTATAGCAAATTCATCTGGCTTGCCCACGTCTCCCATTCATGGCCACACATCAGACTAGGTGGATTACAAATTGTCATGGACTAGGTGAAAAACTGCAGAACTGTCCTTGTGCCAAGCACATCAGGTGGAAGATGACAGAAATAACAGCACCCTTCACAGTCACACCAGCACAAAGGAGCACTGAGTGTTGAGACAAGGAGGCACAAAAATACAAAATGTAACCAGTTCTAAGTAATGTTAAGTTTGTTGGCTTTGTAATGGAAAATAACTGCGGTGCTTGAAGGTAGTTGACATAGTTTCAGGCCCTCAGGACCCCAGTACAAAAGGTGTGAGAAAAGCAGAATAGAAGGACAGGACCTGGGGATGGGGAGTATCTGGGACTAGCAGATATCCAGGGTGGGCACAGATAAACTAACTGATAAGTAAAAGGACAGGATGATTGCTATGCTTGGGGTGTTAATAAACCCATTAAGCTGGTGTAAGCATCTACTAGGGAGTATCCCGGACTAGCAGATGTCCAGGATGAGAGCAGTTAAACTAACTGATAAGTAGAAGGCCAGGATGATTGCTATGTCTGTAATGTTAATTAAGCTTGTTGGGAAAAGTAAACGACCCTTAAAGACCACCACATTTTTGTATGCATGCCGGAAACTTTTTGGAAAATGATGTAATATGCTCAGTGACCGTATAAGGATGACTGTATAGCAATTCGGGGACACAAGTTTGGAGGAGCTATCCCCCGTGTCTCCCGGCGCCGCAATAAAGAATACCTGTTTGTCAACTTGAAACTCTGCTGGCAAGTTTGTTCCTGGAGTTTTCTCCGAATCAGTGTCCAGGCAATGCCCAGGACCTGCCTGAAGCTAAGCCTTGGACAAAACTGTCAGAGCATGGCCACCTTCCTGAGCTTACTTACTAAGCAAACTTACTAGGCACAACATGAACCATCTTCTGTTCCTCTAGCAGCCGCAAAAAGCAACCGCATTGAAAAAACATTCAAAACAGACTATTTCTGTGAAAAACTATCATTTTATTTTCCAAGACATACACTAATGTCCTAAGCACAAAGCCTGCCTACCATCCTGAACTGAAAAACAAAGCCATACTCTGCAACTGAAAATTGCTACCAGCCTGTGTCACTTGTGTGCCAAGCACAGCAATGCATAACATGCACCAGCAACCCTTTATCCTTTATTATTTACTTCTGACCCCAAGGGCAGTTTCCATTTCTCGTCCACTTTCTCTGCTTTAAGAAGAAGCACGTACTGCAGGCAGCGGAGCTCGTGCTGCCTTCCTTTCTCTGCCATTTACTTCTGTGCAAGAGCAAAGCCTTGGGGCAGCGAGCGCCCTGTCCTTATGCAGGAACCACTCTTCTGCACTGGGGACTAAAACAGCCAGGAGGCTTTGGAGGTCTTATGTGGAGGATGAAATTAACCCTTAAATTTACCTTAGCAGGAGCCACCATTTGTGCTGTGAAAAGTAGGCAAGACAATGCAGAGGAGAATCAGTAAGCTTCACCTTTGGCACTGTCTACAAATTAAACCATATTTTGAAGTGTCTCCAAATGTGACAACAGGGAAAGTCTTCAGGGAGAGACAAGTTCCCAGATGATAGCCAGAAGATGGACATGGTGGAATAATTATCACAAGCTTTTCAGGGCCAATCTAGTTTTTCTGCCATGTCTGAGAAGAAATCTTAGAGGTGCAAACCTTCCTCTATCTTCTCCTATCCTTGGACATGAGGTAACATTTTAGGGAGCTCTTCTCAGTGGAGAGAGTGCTCATCTCATTCCCTGTTTTCCCAATAGGAGAAAGTGATCTGGCCCAAGGTCACTAGTGGAGGTTATTTGAACAGAGGTAGGTCACTCCCTAAGCCATCTTCCTGTTACTGCACTGCATTAAAAATATGTAGATAGCATAGAAATCAGTAACTCTGTCCTTTCAAACAGAATAAGGAAACAGCCACTTAATTAAAATGCTATAGTTGCACAGACCAAACTCTATGGTGACTCTGACTCTGAGCTTATGGAGTAGGTTTCCCTGCAGGACTGGTATCTGCAGCAAGGAACAACTGATGGCAAGCACCTTGCTGCATGTGGCTTAGGGCATGCTTTGCTGGCTACACAGAGAGCTGCTCACTGGCTTCAGGTAAGCAAGTGCGAGATGTCTTCTTTAGATTTGATACATTTTGTCTTTAACTTTATACATATTTTAAAGTGTATAGCGGTGGGTAAGCAGGGTAAGAGCATTTTACATACACTCCTTTTGAGAGGTGATGTTAAACACGTAACAACTCAGTGAAGCATAGGAAGAGTACTGGCAGTAAATGAGTATGTCACAATGATTTGTCTCAACTCTTGCAGAGGCAATTTAACATCATTTCAGTGACAGTCTGTCAAGAACACACAGGAATTCACTCTAGTGTCAGCATAACTTTTATTTATTTATTGCTGTCAATATGCACAGTAAAGGAAGACCTGATGTGGCTACCTCCTGAGTACAATAGTTTTGTAAAGACTGATATTGTGGCTTTTGATGATAATAGATCAATGGTGCTGCATTGACAAGCCACAGGGTGATTTTCCTAACTGCCTGAATAACAGATACACTCCCTGGCTGTCCTTTTCTCTGTCCCTTCCAGCATCACATAATATAGACCTTGTAACTGGAAAACAGCCAGAGATAATGTGATGACAGTGTAAAGGGGAAAACCAGCTTTGTATTACTTTCTCTGAGCCCTTAAGCCTTGTAGGAGCAAGAATTCATTTGTGGCTTTCTAACAAGCAAGCACGAGTGGGAAAAAAAAACCAAACAAACTAAAAATCACAGAAGCATCAGGTATGCTAAGGAGGGATGCAAATCCTCTTTTCCTATCACATTACCTGCCATCACAAAAACGTCAGCTTTCAGTGCTGGACCCTCTGATTGTATAAAACCTCCCATTGCCTCACAGAAAGGTACTGGTCACTAACTGCCTGAAATGGAAAGTAGAGGCTGTGCTTTCAGTGCTTTTCCTCTGATCACACCAGAGTGATGCCCTCCAGGAGCATCACATCCTCTCAATATGCTCCTCCACACAGCATCAGGCTTCTCCTCTGGCTGGCAAGCCAGGGCTCCCCTCCTGTCAGCCTTATCTCTGACTTCTCCCTAGAAACAGCACTGAACCTTTAGGGAAAGAACTTAGGCAGACAGAATAGAAAGCCTGGGACTGGACAGTGTCCCAGCCTGCATGGGAGAGGTAAGCAGCTACACCAGTGTTACTGAACATATGCAATACCCAGCAATACTGATGAGCGGCACAGCCCTGAAAGCCCCAGAAAATCTGCACACAAGACCCCTTGAGTCCCAACTGTACCTCTGTTGCTAACTTTATTCACATTTGAATTGTTTATTCCTTTGTTTTCCAATTATACCATGGGGATAACAGCATCACTCTGAGTGTGCTTGTCAAGTGCTCTGTAAGCACCAGGCAGTGCTGTTACTACAGCAAGGGTTATTAGTCAGCTGCTTGCTTAAAATAGGTGGGAGAGGCTGCAAGGTTTCCACCACAAAGTGATCCCTCTCCTGTAACATACTTAATCACCACATTGAGGGCAAATCCTTCCCTGCAATAACCACATAGTGATCACTCAGAAGGAGAACACAGGCCAGCCAGAGGGCCACCTCTGAATAGGCTGCCCACAGCTCCTCTCCCAGTGCAGCCTTGGCTTGCCAGAGATCCCAGTTCGACCAAGATAGCCTAAATTGCAATCAAGAGGGCTGGTAGAGAGCAGTACAATGTCTTGGACACAGGCTATTCACTGCAGCACAGAGATTATTTTCCCCACCTCCATAGCCCTGACAGCTCTCTGCTCACAATGATTAATTCTCCAAGCAGTCATGGGGTTTGTTGCTGGACACTTTTCACGCACCTGTCCTCCAGCTTGTTTTACAGAGGTGGTGAGGAAGTCATCGGAGCCAGGTCAAAGGCTCCTCCACACAGAACCTGCCCACAGACAACACCTTCTGCAGCACATACCTTTGTTCCTCCTTCCAGCAGTGACACAGCCACACATCCCAGTACAAAACAAGCGCAAACGTGGCCCCAGGATATTTTGCCCACAGTCAACACAACACAACACAACACCCCTCCAGCTTGTATTGATGCCACTGAGTTACCTATAAACTCTCTGCACATGATCCTCCTCGGAGCGAAATCCTCAGCATCCTCAGGTTGTCTTCACCTTGTGTTGTAACCATTTGCTTGAAAGGGTGTAGCATCAAGAGGCTGCCCTGTGTGTGATATTATTGCCTGTGCTTGGGAGGCTGGGACTGCTGCGGTCTTCAGGAAACTTGCCAGGAAATGTGCCTCACCAAAGTGCTGGTTGACTGGGGGTGTGCAGCGAGCCATTTCCTAGGGGGGATCAGGCAGAACAGGGTAAGCGGCGCCTGGCTGGGGAGGTTACACTAGTTGGAGCGTTGGCTGACAAAGGACTTTCTCAGAAGCACTTGTGTTTGGCAGACAGACTAGACAGGAAAGGAAAGAAGAGGCACTTCCTAAGCTACAGTCTGTGGTTCAGTATAACACCGACCGTGGTGTCTTGGCAAGTCATGGCTTAACATAAGCGGCTGAAGCAAACAGATCTGGAGTGACCAGCAGAGGTCTGCCAGGCTACAGGGAGCATTCAAACTAAAGCAAAGCCACTACCTGAGGGAATTGCCTACTCACAACTTTCCCCCACTTTTCTCACCAAGAGGCAAACCTCCCCTCTGACCCTAGTGCCCAATGGCATAACTTTTGCAGAGCTGAATGGCAAATTGAAATAGGAAGACCCCTCCCAGCAAGAGTCACTTTTCATCCCCTGAAGCAGAATCCTTTTGCGACCTCATGATCTGATAGAGAGTTTCCCTGAAGTGCTGGTCCCGGCTCAGTCTTTTGGCTGCTTCTTTCAGCTCCTCAATGTTTTCAGCTTCTGCATGCGAGAAGATGAAGGACTGGGATTGCTTCACTGAAACAAGAGCGGCACAGAAAGGTCAGCACCATCATCAGGGACACAAACTGAAGACAAAGCTTCACTAGAGCACACCAGCCATGCGATCAATGTGACTGAGAACCTAGCAAGGGATAAGCTAAACATTGCACTGAAACAGCTTCACTGTACTGTTTTCAGAGGAGGAAAATGCTGATGGCATGGAAAGAGACTTTCCTTTTTCTACAGCTCTCTCTTATTTAGGGTTCTACATAGAACCTGATCTAACCTTGCAGGTAGCCACCCTGAATACTTGATTGGACAATGTCTAGGTGTCTCTTCCAACCTAAATCAGTCTATGATTAAGCATTCAGATGAAGCTGGCTTTGAGAATGGATTTTTAGGGACCCAGGACCATCACAGCAGTTACCTTTCAATATACCTGAAGAGACAATCAGCACACAGATGGGAAGCTCCAAGTTTCTCTGTAACTCTGTGCTGTTGCTAGGGAATATGAAATATGAACCACACGACCTTACTGCTCTGTCAGCGCCATCTGCACATATCTGCTCCTGCAGCATATAGAGTAAGAAGCTGCCCAAAACCTACAGTCATTCCACGAAGCACTGGCTCTCCGGCGGTGGAAGCGGCAGCTTTTTATGCGACGAGTGGCAGCCTTGTGGATGTACACAGAGTTCTTCATGATCACAGGCATCTTGGCCTCCAGCTCAGCATTGCGGATGCACTCTTCAAAGAACTCTGCAAGGGGAGAAGACATCACTGTGAACAGTGATGGGAGAGACACTTCAAGCGATGAACCAGTCATAAGGCACTGCACATGCTAATGGGCTGAGTCAGGTAATGACATTCAAGACCTCCCTAGATCTTCATAAACAGCAGTCCATGAAGCTCCAGAATATCATCAGAATGAAAAAGTTAGTAACAAAGCCTTCCAGTCCCCAGCAAGTACATACTCAAATTATAGAAAGAACTGCAACCATCTATTCCCCGTACCACTCATGATTCAGCTTCTGTTACAATAAAACTTCTCAAATTTCTTGCAACAGAGGGGTCTGAAGCTTTGCTCACTGCACTTTTTTTGAAGGAATGCTGTGTGAAACCAAGCAAATCTAACTGCAGAAAGGGAGGTGTTGGCATACATGGCCAGGGATTTCTTAATAGCATAGCAAATACTGGCACTTACATACACACGTTACAGGCCCCTTGCAAAGCCCCGTGTCCAAACTCTTAACAATGTTACTCTGTCCTGATCTGGCCCAGAAGCTGCTTTTCCTGGTCCATTTCTGCTTGTATGGTCTAACTGGCATACCTTCTGATGTTCCAGTCTTGCTGTCCTCCTGCCTGTCACTGATGCCCTGCTGTTCAGAGGGCTCATGCACTAATGAGCCCCAACTCTTACAGGAGAGAGCAGAGCAGAGCTTCGGGAATCACTTGGAAACACTGAAGCAATCTGTGGTGGGACTGGCATTAAAATGCTGCTGGTCCCACACTTTCTCCAGTGTCTCACTCATGAGTACATTTTTACACTTTTGAAGAAAACATCCCCTAAACTTAAGACTGGAAATGAGTGTCAGGAGACACTCAGTGCCAGAAGTTACTCATTTATATCCTGCGCAGGTAGCTCAGCTCAAGACGAATGTTGAGCTGAACATGTCCACTTTAGCTCTGTTTTTTTTTTTTACCATGACTCTGAGTCAGTAGAATGAAGTTCAGAATCGTGCCCTTTTGTCTTAGTTTAGAAAAATGATGTAGAAACTACTGAATAATACTTACTTTTCTACATATATCAATTATAAATATTGTATATAAACTATTTATACATGTATTTATACTTATATATGTAATAGTGTTCAAAATGGCTTAGGCCTTTTTGACTCTTCTATATTGGCCCAATATATCCACCTTTTACTGAAACAAACCACAGATACATGATCTTCATAACAGCCTTCCCCTGAACTATACTTGAGGATGGAAAACAAGCAGGACTTCAACACAGTTGAAGCTGAAAGTGTCAATTCCCAAAGCTGACTCAAGCCAGATGCTAGGATCATGCCCCATCTTACCAGAAAAATAAACAAAACAAAAAGGCAAAGAAAGGGATAAGCTGTGAGGAACTTTACACCTGACTGCAGTAATCTTAGCACAGCAGTGCTGGGCTGATGCTCTCTTTTAGCTCTGAGTAAGGATCCAGACCTCACCGGCTGGGTCACCTACCAGCACGTTGCTACAGCAACCACAGTCTTCCTTAGACTGATGATGTTCCCGTAACCAAGGCTGAGAAAAAATTATCCTGAGGGGAACTGGACCTAGCCAGCCTTCACAGGTCTGCCACAGTTTTCCCGTTTGACATTCTGGAACGCATTTGCTCATCTCTGCCCCTAGGTTTGTCTTCCACACAACAAGGAAGGCTGGGATAATTTTGCCCTCCTTTGATGGAGAAACACCAAGTGCTGGCATAGCATGTCCTGGCTTCTCAAAAGGAGGTGTGGTTGAGGTACAAGGGATTGGGAGAGCACGTTATGTGCAGCTTCACTAACTTGGGAAGTTCTTTTTGTGTCTGGGAAGATGGGCAGAAATATTTCCTCTTTCAGAACTTGCTGATCAGTAGGATGATGGATGACTGACTTACTTCTCAAGTTACTGACATCTGCTTTCATCTTCTCCTCTTTCTCCTTGTTGCAATCCAGGGAATTTAAGCCTTGCTCCAAGCTCTGCAATGCTTCCTCAGCTTCTCTCAGTCTCTTCTCCAGATCCATGCGCACCTTCACCTCAGCCTGAGGAAGAGAGTGAGCATTGCTGAAAACCAGCTTGTGTCTCAATAACCACCCTGCTAACTCACAAGGTCTGTGAGGAGCCCCCCCAGCAAATGAAAATGAAAAGACAACAGTCGGGAACACCAACAGAAATATTGTAAGACAACACAAAAGTTGTTCCTCGTGTCTTCAGACACAATCTGAAATTGAAATACACATTATTTTAGTAATTCTCCTTTGCTCTGACTTTCACTGCTTCTCTCTCATTGTATGTGGAATCAGAGGTGGAATTTCAATATGTGAGTTCAAGTACTTGCAGCTGAGGAGGAGCAGGAAGACATCTTTCCAGCTGAGACAGACTTGAGATAAAGGCAATCAATTCCCACAAAGGGGTGCACAGTATTTAGTTTCAGGAAAATTTAGAAATAAAGGATTTTATCAGTAGTAACTTAGCAAATGAGAATAATTAATATAGTTCAGGTCAACATAGCTTTAGTTTGGCCAAGCGGAAGGTTACAGCATAACAAAATCTTGGAAGTGAAGGAAAAAGAAGAATTGGAGGTAAGGGGGTTTGGACAAAATATTTGTAGCAGGAGGTTGAGTGTCAAACAGCCAATAATAAGTATAATCTTTACATTATTTAGATTAAAATATAATAGCACACTTTGTCCAATTACCTTTGTGTAAATTAAGGTATCTTCCACTACTGGGATAATGAAGGAGGGCTGGTACCTCACCTGCATTCCTCCGCTTTTGAACTCAGGTTCATGCAGATGTTCCTGGAGATTTAAAATCTTAAGATTGATTCCCTGAGCTCAAGTGAGGAGGAGAGATTTCTGCTCAGTTCTGCAATGTCCATATAAGCATTTGTTTGAAATAATATTTATTCTAGATTGTGTCTACTTTCCTCTTTTACTTGTTTTTTCCTCCCCTCCATCTTTAGGTGATGTTTTCACAGGAGCAATTGAAAAGACTTTTACTGAATGGGTTAATCAGGCCTTGGAATAAGAAAATAAACAGTAGTGCTACAAAGATACAACATGTCAACTTCACATGTTACCATGATATGAAGATTTGTGACCACAAAATGAAAACAATAAAACCAAGTCTCCCACTTGATAGGGGATAAACTGAAAGGGAAAATTAGAGGACTCTGGGCCCAGGGACAGCAATATGTAACATGCACAGGGGATACCTTGAGGTCTCTCTCTGTCTGCTGCTTCTCTGCAGTCAGCTCTGTGAGTGAGTTCTGTAATGCTTGTGACTGGGAAGAGTAAAACTCCCGCTCCTCCTCCAGTGCTCGGGACCTCTCCTCATTCTCCTTCATCCTGGTACATGGCACAGCAAAGGAAGATGACCATTCCCACCCCAGCACAACTCACAGGAAGGAAGGGGCTTAGTATTGTGATGGGGCATGCTTAACTACCTGGCTGCCCCGAGCAAAGGGGTGCTAACAGGAGCGCTGTCTGTGTTTCACTTTGGTAACACAGGCATTGCTGGAGAAAGCCAGGTGGACAGTTCATAGAATCATAGAATGGTTTGAGTTGGAAAGGACCTTAAGATCATCTAGTTCCAACCCCAGGGACACTTCACACTAAACCATGCCACCCAAGGCTCTGGCCAACCTGGCCACTTGAGCTCAGGGATGGATGGATCTCTTCCTTGGGCAACCTGTAAAGTTCTTGAATGGACCATTCTCAACCCCTAGACAAGGTCCAGAAGCACTAAACACTTCTTATGGACAAGTCCATGAACACCAGATGGATTCATATGCCTAAGTCCTGATCTGAAAGGAGCAGGCCCAAGCAGCAACAAGGAGTCCAACTGTCCTGCCTCACTCTTTTCTGTCTGAAGTGTTTATAATATCAACTCCTACCATGGGAACCAAGCAAGCTTCCAGACTTGTCTTGCTCTGGCAACTGAAAAGCACATCAGCAGACAGTCACAATATTTGGCAGCACTAAGCCTGAGCGGGGCACAAGTGTCCTCTTCCTTCTACTGAACCCAAGAACGTAAATTAAAAAGAATCTTGCCTCTCTGCAGGTCAGGATAAACAAGGAAACAGTTTTGGTGTGACCCAAATTTTAAACCTGGAAATATTTGATTTTCTGATTGCCTCCCACCTGCAAGGGGGAAAATTACCTCTTTTCCCACCACCCTCTTCACACTGGATTGTATCTTCTCCCACACCCCTGTCTCTGGCACCACCGTAAGATCCCCACTTCACCTCTTCTCTGCCAAGAGCTTCTCCTCCAGAAGTTGCTGCATCTTCTCTTCAATCTGTTGCAGGCTGCAATGCAGTCCCCAGATGGGGTTTTGCTCCTTCCTGGGGCTGGTTGGAGGTGGGAGATGGCTCTCATTTTCTTCCAGCATCTCCAGCATTTGCTGCTTTTCTAGGGATAGCTCCTTGAAGAAGGGCAGAGGTTGTGAGTATCAGCCAAGTCTAACATTTCTGCTCTTGTTCCTGCCAGGGTTTCCCTGTTAAGTCCCTCCGTCCTTAAATACACGTGCTTCATTCAGGTTAAAAACAGGAATAACAAAATCTGGTTTTCATTTTGGACCTCTCTTATGAGGAACAAGTGTCCACCATAGCCTTTGCTATGGAAGGGGATGAGAACTGACAGGCTGTTTTGACATGACCTGCTGTAAGAACCCAGCTCAGGAACTGGAGCCTTGTGCTTCCCTAGTGCATCACTGATGCAGGCAGCTTCTCTGCCTTCCCTCCTCAGCTTGCTCCTTAGTGTTAACTAGAGGCATCCACTGTGTGGTACTTCTAGGACATATCATGCTGCTTTCCTGTGAGGTGTCCAGTCTGGTGGGCAAAGAGGGCTTGAATGCTCCTTCCCTAGCTTTCCAGTTCTTTCATACCCATAACTGTGGGCAAGGAGATGAGCTCAAAGGAACATCAGCAACAGATTTTTGGACAAACTTGCATGATCTGACATGAACTTTTGGGGCTTCAGAAGGCAAACTGTGTGGAAATTTCATAAACCATATCTATTTAGAAAAGCCACTTTCCACCAAGAGTGATACTAAGGAAGGAAAGGGTTTAATACGTCAACACGGTTTCCTAAATTCCCATGTTGTACACGATTGCCTAGGAACCATGCTCTCTTCTGTGAACAAGAAATGTCTTTCCGCTGCTCCAAATTCCACCAGGACTTAGTTGCAGTTAGTGTATATATATACACACATATATATATAAAGAAGATATATATGTATTGTTATATATATGTCAGAACATTATCACAGTTTTAAAGCCATGTTGGCTGGAAGGGACCATCCGGTAGCCTCTTGCCCAGCCTCCTGTTCAGAACTGGCATGTCAACACAGCAAGACCTGTTCCCCTGTGGCTTTCTACAGTCAAGTGGTGAAAACCTTCCTACATGTAGGTTCTTTAGCCTCTCCTACCACTGGCCTCCCTCTGCGGTGAAAAGTCTCTCCCTACTCTGCAACCAAACTGCAATTTGTGGTTATTGTCCTACATCAAATCACTTGGTACTGGTGGGCTCTGCATCAGTCATTCTTTTCTGCAGGGGATTTTGGCTTTCATATCATCCACACAGGACTTAACTCTGGCACTAGTGCGTGTTAGATTCATTCCACAGGACAGCATTGCTTTCAGCCCTGGTCAGTTCTCATGGATCATCCCCAGAATGCTGTCACTCAGAGGGGAGAAGTGACCACTCACCTCTAGAGTTTTCTGTAAGGACTGTGTCAGGCTTCGCAACACTTTCTTTTCTTCCTCCACTCCTTTAAGGGAGCGGGCTGTGAGCTCTAGCTCCCTAAAGAAGCAAAAAGGGTGACAGCTATTGCAGGGGAACACCAGCCCCACACACCACGCTCAGACAGCACAAACTGTGGATCTCTTAGTGCACAACCTGCGACCAGTGGTTGATACAGGCAGCCCCGGAGAGTCTGGAGCTTGCTAGGAATCATCACGGTTTGAACAAGCTACGGGCCTCCAGGAACTTTACTGTGCCTCCAGGTTGCAATGGGAAGAGCTCAGACATGGCAGTCATATCTAAACAGATATAGGCCTATGAAAATGAAAATGGTTTGCAAATTCATACTGTCTTTTCTGACATGTTATTTAGGGAGAAAAAAGGGAATAAGAGAGCAATGGCGAAACATAGCCTTTCAAACACTCAGGGAAAAGCACTTGGATCCTTCCCTTTCTAAATACATTCATTGTTCATATCTTGGCTAGCAAAACTACTAAAATTACAAAGTTATTCTTGGTGAGGCAACTTCATCATTCGGCTGACGGTGGAAAACCAGATTCAGATGTCCGGAGCCCACATGGCAGGACCCTTAATCAAAATAATTCCCTCTCTGAAATCCTTTAGGACCTGTCCATTGCAGTGCCACTCTGACTAACCTGGGGTTCATCCATGTCCCAGCCCTCTGAAAATGAAACTGCTGGAGCTCTGAATGCAAAATGAAGCTAAGGTGGATTCCATTGGTCACACAAGTGATAGTAAATGCAGGTAAACGGATCTCAGCCATTCCTGGTTTGGTCAATATAGCATGTATAAAATAGGTGGATTTTGCAAGCTGTTTGGATTCAACACCACAGCAGCACTTCTGCCCAGTGTGGGAATTCATGTCCTTTTCCTGCCCTGTCCTTTTCCACCTTACCGTCTAATCTGTTCCTGCTCCAGCCGCAGCTCCCGTACCACCTCTTCAAACTGGTGCTTCTCTGCTTCCAGCACCTGGTTCAGACGCTCAAGTTCCTGGACAGAAAGAGAAGGCAAGGAATGTACTCTGCTGACATGAATAAAATTAGGAAAGGCTTCCCTGCTACCAATGCCTGTGACTTTTAACCTGAGCTATGCAGAGCCACAGGGCGTCCAATTCCACCACCCTTTCTTCCAGGAGCAGTTAGAATGGATTGAAGGTTGGTTGAGGATTTCCATACATCCGGAAGTCCCTGCCATGTTACCAGGCACCTGGAAGTCCTGGATATGCTCCCTGCACAGATCAGCTCTGCTGCAAAATACAGAGGGTCCAAAGCCCCCTGGGAAAGCTGGACTCAACATGCATGTACCATTTCCAGGCACCCACATGTACAGGTACAGAAAGCCTGGATGCAGGAAAGCCTCAGCACTGCGGTGTCTGAAGTGTGATATTTCTACTATCTCAGCCTCCTTTCCCATCCCCGCTGGAATAGGAAAACACAAACTGCACAGTTACAGCTTTGCGCAGTTTAATCAGCCCATCACTACCTCAGTGCTAATAAAATCACACTTAAAGAGCACCGAATACCACAAGCTATCCTCAAGCAGTGAAATAGCCTCTTACCCTAGTCTAGGGAGCCGCTTTACAGAGACCTACTGCAAATGAAGGGACACAGGGACAAAGTACAGCGAGGGTCCTGGTCAGGTTCCCTTGCAGCCTTAGCTGTAGGCAGAACTCCTGCTGCAAGCCCAGGAAGGTCACAAAACACCACTGACACCAGGTAAGTCCATAATAAGACTCTTGCTTCATGACGCAGATACATGGTTCAAGCTGCTTTCCTAACATCGTGCTTTGAAGCCTTCAGGCTCACAGCAGGTCACACCAGCGCAGCTCAGTGAGCTATATATTCATTCCTTCATCAGTACCAAACTCCTTCAGACTAACCTGGCACTATCTGATCTTTGTGGACAACAAAGGTACCATGCATGGCTTTGTAAAAGCAGAGATTTGTTCCAGGACCTTTAAACAAAGGCATTTTCCTCTCTATGGCCGTGAGTTGGCAGCAGACTACCTTTCCAGAAAGGGATGTCTCCCTGCAAAGGCAGAAGTAACTTAGCTCTAAAGAAGTGTCCAAGCCACCTTTGGACTTGATCTCTCCAGAAACATACCCAGGAAAAACGTAGGCCTGAGAAGCCTAGGTCAGCACTGCTGTCTTTTGCTAAAGAGGGGACACAGCCATTTTGGATTAACTGGAAAAGAGCATGCAGCAGTTTGGAATATTGCAATGTGGTGGTTTACATCCATGCAGGCTTTACTACCATGTAATACGACAACCCACTTTCAAAGTTATTGTAAAATAACTTTATGATAGTGCTATAAAAACTGGTATAGGTGTAGTAAAAACATGAAAATGAACTGCTTTTATTATATTAAGCAAATACAAGTTAGGAATAGTTTGGAAAACAATAAACTTGTTTAATTATGATGTAATAGTAACATCTAAGGGAGTGCTCTCTTGAGTTTTCCTCACTGCAATGTTTATTATTCTCCCCATTTCTTGCATGTCCAGAGAACAAACGATGTTGCTTTTTGCTGCTGCTTGTTTCTCACGGAAGTATCTCTACACTAGAAGAGTGTCAGGTCTGTTCATCTGCTTTCTAACTGTGGAGACAGACAAGTTGATTGCCAGTTGTCTTGAATCTGCCAAAAAACACGTGTGTAATTCAATCCAGGGAATATTCATTTAATGCGCTCTTCTTCCCTTGTTCTCCTGAGACATGTATCACAAGAACACTGCATGGAAAGTGCCTGGGAAGGGCAGCAGGGATACACCTCCAGGACTGATCTCACGACACAGCTCTTACTCCCTTCTTTATCCACAGGACCCAGAGGTCAGCTGGAGGTATTTTCTGGCTTCAAAGCCTCCCTCCCCGAACCCTGATATGCCTTCCAACCAACAACTCCCTGCCTTCCAGTCCTGCACACAGAAGTTGAAGGAAATTGGCTTGTGATGAACACTCACCTCTTTTTGCTCCCTCTGCAGGCACAGCTCTTCTGTTTCTTCCATTAGCTTATCTGCAAACACACACACAAAGGCCAAATGCAGAGAAAAGCAATTTATATTGTGGGAATATTTATGGGCATGAAACACTGACCGAGGCTTGAAAATGCAGTGTTCCCTATTGCTCTGTGTGTATCTGTCTGGGAGAATCCAAAGGGTGAGATGACAGTAATGGGATGTTCTGTAATTTCCAGGTTGCTAAATGACTTAATAAACTAAGCACCCATATTGCTGTGTACTCCTTCTAAGGTTTCCTCTCAGCGGTCTTAAAGAGCATTAAAGAACTAACCTCTGCAATCATCCGAGTCAGGAAATACTCTTATCTCTTCTTCTCACATAAAGAAGCAAATGCCCAGAAAGTAGGTGCAGAGTCACACACCACTGCATAGAGAGTCAGTTCTCCTGCAGCTCTGTGCCCCATCCCTACCCTCCTGGCACATCACCCTCTCCTTCAGGCACCTGCCAGCTCCCGTTTGTGATCTTGGCATGTGCCAGCCAAGCCCAGAAATCAATCCCCTAACTTAGCCACAAAATTCCTTAACCATTCTTAACTATTCTTGTTAATAATAGTTCCCCTCAACATCAGTTGCTCTTGTTTACTAAGGACACATGCCCACTTGGGACTCTGCCCTGATCCTTACACTGTGACCTGATGCACCTATGCTCTAACTGTAAACAGGCTCTGCCTTGGGCAGTTTTTAATTGTTACAGCTTTGTGGGGGACAGTTGAGAAGTAACTTGGGGGATCCAGGGGATTTCCTGGAACAGTGTTTGCTTTCCCCAGAGAGCCTTGAGCTGCTGCCAGGAGCAGCACCTGACCTCAAAGCTTAACTACAGGAAGCACACAGATCACTGAAGGTAAGGTTATTGAGGCAGAAGCCTCAGCAGTTATATAGGAATAAATAGACAATAGCTGTCAAGAGAAAGTAACCAACTGTGACAACTGACCAGCTCTGAATATTCTTGTCATGGACCAAAGAGCCCAGTGCAGTATGTATTTTATATTCCAAATGATCTCCCGTTTGCCACAGAAGGTGTACTCCTCTATTCTTCCATCGCCTTGTCTTGTACTGTGGCACCCTTCAGTTTCTTAGGCTTTTTAGTCTGCTCTGGTGTTTGCAAAATAATGTTTTGACAAAACTTTCCTGTTTCTAGCTGTCCTCCTATCTCTCCAGGTCCTCCTCACAGCACTCCCTGTTATCCCTTTGTCAGGTGTGGAACCTGCTTGCCTCATATATGAGGCCTACGTCAGCTCACATGTGTGACTGGCACTTAGATGGCGAGAATGAACATGCCTTGGTACTTGAATTATGATCGCTGTTACATGTGAGACCACATACTGAGATCACCCCTGATCAGCATGAATGCAGAAATGCAGGTTTTTCAAGATCCCTCCAATGGCTTGATCATTAGGAGTAGATACCATGAATCCCTGCTCAAGGCATCACCAACCTGAAGCACTCAATATTGCTGCTAGATTGTTTAAAGCAGATGACTGTCCAGACAAGCCACTGAGTTCATGCATGTGACCAGCAGCCCCCAGGTCAGAAGGGCTCTTACACTTTGGGAAATGGTCTAACTTAGGGGTTGTCTGGGTTAAAAAGGCTACTCTCCCTTGGCTCTTGCTATGGGCAACATGGGGAAGAGACAGCTGGACTGCCCAATGCAGTCAGAGTACCCAAGGTACTGCCATGCAGAGGCTGGTTTCCAAGTAGTGGATCGGACTACATAACGTTCAGAAGTCTCTTCCAACCTAAATTATTCTATGTTCACCTGGAGCAACTGCTCGCTCTCCATTGCCCATGGAGAGAGGAATGGCAAATTAGCCATTAACATTAGACACCTCAAACAAGCCCATGTAAAAGCTATCCCTTCCAATATGATCAATGTAAGCAAATGTAAAGACTGAGTAAGGCCAAAAAACCCCAAACATCTGGAGGAGGAAAACTCATGCATGAAAAGCTGTGATTAGCCTCAGAAATACCAGTCCTACGTGATTCAGGGAGACAAAGGTACTGGCTCTTTGCCTGATGAGCAGCTGAAATCAGCACATCCAAACTTCCCAGGGACAGCAAACATTTGTGCACTCCAGCCATTGGGAGCTGCAGGACTGCAGCATGCTGGCCAAAGCACGTCCCTTTCATGCTCCACACAGATGTCCAGATCCTACCTTTACATTTTCATGTTTTAACTCCCTTCAAACCTGAATTTCAGCTGCTGACTACTGCAAAGCTTCATCCAGTAAAAGGAAACCTGTAAATCCTTGGCTTGGCCACACTGACAACTCCAGAAAAGCAAAATGGCTATTTTTGGATTTATGGCTTTTGGAAGTAAGAGTTTCCTACCTAAGTATTCCTGCTTCTCCTTGGCAAGCTGCAGTCCTTGTGCTTCCAGGCTCTCAATCATAGCTTCTCCCAGCTGAGCATTCTTCCAGGTCCTAGGGAAAGCAGACGCAAAGCAGACAATGTAAGAGAGAACTAAGGGTCCCACGGAGCAAGGCAGAGGACTCAGCCTAGCAGTCTATCAAGACAGTGGCACTGTCTTGTGCAGCATTTCCAATATTTTTCTGCTATAGCCACTCTTCCCCTTCAAACTGTTACTAACTGTTCATTGACTCCTTCACACAGTCTTCTACCTTCAGCCTTTCTGGTAGTCATCATCCATCCTGGAACCAATCAATTCCTCCTCTGCCAAACTTGCAAGCCACTAGAATTTGGTGTCTAGCCCTACACCATGTGTTAAATGCCTTTCCCTGTAAAAACAATGAAGAACCTGAGATAAAAGCCTGACAAGACACTAGTAAGTAGGGAGAGTTAAAGGAAGCAGGCATATTCAAAGAGTACCCTGAGTTATTGTAGGACTTTGGCCTAAGGATCTCAAGGTCACGTCAACGTATTAGGAAACTAAGCTGCTAAAACGAGGCCTGTGGAGCAGAAGCCCATTACTGATTGAGCTGATGGACCAGGTTTAATACAGATATTAAATAACAAGGACAAGGACACACAAATCAAAAAGGGAACCAGAAATTGAGTTCACTGCTCACTTCTATTAATGTTCCATAGAAAACAAAATACCTAGACACATAAAATGCATACGTAAAATTCATCCCAATCTATTTATATAGACATACATACAGGAACAGGAATTGCTGCCCAGAAATTCTGCCATCTTCAGTAAATCCTAAGGGAGCTTATTAATATTAAATACCTGTTAAGCATTCTGGTACCAGGCCTCTTTGTGAACCATTTGAAATTACAGGTTTTCAGAGCCTGTTAGGTTGGCAACCTCTTATAAAGCAGTGTCAAGGCAACCTGTACTTCATCTCTTACAAAAGCCAGACAATGACACTAAAAACACATTACCCCAGGGACTAGGCGGCTCACAGCTCCAGCAGCCCAAGCACTGCCTTGTGCTCTTTGCAGACAGCTGGGTTTCTTTTCAGCTAATGAGCATCTAGGATATTCAGAAGTGCAGAAGAAATTAGAATGCTAATTAAAAAGGTGATGTTTTGCCCACAGGTAGATATCTTCATCTTGAGTGAGAACATGTGAGTGTGAATGTGTTTTTCCACTAATACTCTCTAATACAGGATGAATCTAACCCCAGAGAAATCAAGAGCAAACATCACAAGAGTGGGGTGGGGAGCATTACAGAGCTTATTTTATGATTATTGGGAAGGTTCCAAAACAGCTGCAGCCTTTAAGGTGTCTGTTTATTAGATTCACCTTTTCAGTGCGACCTCCCTTCCCCAGCCTAACAAGATGTTTCCCTGTTTGTAACTCAAAGGTTACTACACCCACTGCTGTATGACTCAGAAGATGCACTCATATCACTGTGTAGCATGTAAGCTTTTATTCCTTTTATCTGCTGGAACCATTACCAGTGTGTAACTGCAGCCACAGGGAGGTTCATGCCATGACTTCAACTGAGGGGAGAGCAATTTTGTATTTCTTACCAAGTGAGTTTCCATCAGAAAAAGCTGCACTGCTTAAGGTACTGGGAAGCACAGGGTCAGGAAGGCTCCTGGGACGAGTAGAAAGCACTCCTATAATATACTTGTGAAAACTACACCCCAAAGCTGTGTAGTAGCTCCATTTGCTCTTCAGCTCAAAGATCATTTATCCCAGCCCTTTTGCAGCATTGGGAACATCTCCCTAGCTTTGCCTTCATTTTACCTTTCTCAAGAGCATTCACAATCAGGTATTTTTGTTCCATGGGACATACGTACTATGTTACCTGTTTTGTTTTGTTTTTTTTTTCCTCGTTGCCCACTTAAGTCTGCTTTCAACCAGTGCAGGGAATGCTGCTATGGACATAGAGAGTGTACATGTGCCCATGCCCCCTGTGAGGAGCAGCAGAAGCCTCTCTGGGTGGGAAGAGAGCCCATCCAGCTGGCAGTCAAGGCTTTGGCATTTCTGAGAAGTTCTCCAAATCTGACCAGTGTGGTAAGTCCAAGCACACCATGTCAGGAGGCTGAGGAGACCATCAGCTCTCCTGTGCACTGAGTAGGGGGTCTCCCTATCAAACCAGGAGGCTGGGAAAGGAGTGAGGAGCAGAAGAGATCGCTGGGCACATTGTGATGGTGGAGGTACTAGGCAGCTGTGCAGGCACACACACCACCCAGCCCGAGATGTAAAGAGGCAGCAGACAGAAGTTGAAACAAAGGAGAGAGGAAACATATGCTTTTGATCCTCGGTACATTTTTTCTTCTTTCCCCTATTTACAAAATCTCAGTCTCTGGACTTGGTGTTTTCTGAGGGTGTTGGTTTTGCTTTTGTGTTGTTGGGGCTTTTTTTTTTTCTTTGGTTGGTTTTATAATGAGGGAGCAGGATGATAAATTAAGTGCTGCAGTGCCACTGGCATTACAATCTCCATCTAGGAACAGCAGGACACTAAACCAGGTTGCCTAGAAGATCTCAGCTGTGTCCTTTTAGCTTTCCTGTTCATTGCAGATCAATTTACTGGCCCACGCTGTGCCTTTCTGGCTGCTGCTTAGCTCCCAGCCTGACCCCGCTAGCATAAATCACATAATCTCTGCTTTCCCTCACGCACAGGCTATCATCAGCACCGATTAGGCAGGCACTGGAGCTTCATCACTCTCCTCCTCTGATGAAAGAACAGAAGCAGAGAGGGAAGGGAAGGAGGTGTCTCAGGCAGATTGTCAGTTGGGTGCAGGTGGTCTGCTGTATGACAGGAGCCACAGTCTAGATCTTTGTTTTAAACATTAGTACTGGAATACTGAAGCAAGGACTATACAAAATGCTGGCTCTGTGAAATAAGCAGGTACACATGACTTGTTTGTAAGATCCCTTCCTGCACTGTACAGCCATATTCCTTCCCTCCCATACACTCCTGAAAGACTAATTTGGCCCCCAGATTACTCTCCTTGGCAATAGTCGAGTATAACATTGGTGAAGGCAAGTGCAGACCTGTGCTATCAAAGAAACAACTCAAAATTGCTCTAGGGCTAAGTCTGTGTCCCTCCTCCTCTGCTGTGGCCAAGCCTGCTCCTGCTGAGTGGGTGACTGATCTCTGCCTTGGGTCTTTGTGTCCCATGGGGCACATGCTCCCATGAAGCTATAATGACCAGCTTTGTATTTACGGTTTATACAATACCATGGAGGTTACATCTTGCTCCAGCACCAAAGCCAGGCTCACTGCAGCAGCTCAGAGCTTGGCTTGGGCTGATCCACCATAACACTGCGCTCCCCATTAATTAGAAATGAACATTTTCAGCATCATAACATTGGAATTAACCGAGATACTACCTTTGCCATGCACACATGCATACATACACTGGTATTAAAAGTTCAACTTGCTTGAAAGAGCAGCTTTTGTCCCTACAGTCACAAGAGACCACATACACACATTGCAGTGCAGCCAGGAAGGACAGAGAAAAGTTCTCACTGCTTCAAACTTCATGGCTGGATAGTAGGCTCTGCAAGCTTCTGCCTTGCTTGGGAAAGTCAAGTCCCTCTTTAAGTGTTATTTCTTCCTGCATCTGCTGAGATTTAGGAAGATCCTGCTTTGGGTTTGCAGGACAGCTGCTCCCTGCACTGTCAGACATCTGGGTACTGAGGGATTGCAGAGCTGGTGGCCAACAAACTGCAGATCTCTCCAGTATTCTCAGCAGACTATGGACTCGGTGCTGTACACACACAGCAATCAAACTCTCTCACCCCTGTAGGTGGGCTGGAAATGCTTTGCTAACACCTCCTCCCTGGGATCTAGCCTGCCTCCGCTGTTCAGAATTAAACTGTCTCAAGAAACCAAATCCTGCTGCTGCATGGCCTGAGCTCCCTAGGACCTGAACAGAAGGAATGCGCACCCATGGTCACACAGTTGCTTCATGGCTGTCACTGACATCTCAGCATGACCAGGACAGCTAACGAGAACAGCGATGTGCCGGTGAGGTCACTGCTCACCAGTGAGGTGCAGAGCCACACAGAGAGCTGCTCACAAGCTTTGCACCTTGCCTGTTCTGCTCTTACCTTACCCCAAATTCATACACCTGCACCCAGGGAGGTTTTCTGACCCACAGCTTTGTCAAGCCCGTGGACCTTCCTTCCCACACAAAACGGTCTAGGGAGCTCCCACCTCTCTGAGCAAGACAGAGGGACAGCAGATGCCACCCGGTATATCAGTGTTCGAGATATGATGGCCTGGGGTTGGTAACAAAGAGCCATATTGCATACTACACCCAGGCAGGAAGATATGGGTCAATTTTAGAGCATTCTTGTGTAGGAAAGAATGAGTCCAGGAGGCAAGTGAAGGTCTTGCTGGTCTAGGGGAGCTTTTCTGCCTTCCCCATGGTCCTTCTAGTCAGGCTTCTTCCCCTTTATCCTTTACACATCTACAGAGCAGATCAAAGAGAATAAGGAATATAAAGAAGCTTACACTTTTCCAGACTCCTGTAGCATCTCCAGCCACTGAGCCTGCTCAAACTCTGATTCAGCTGCTAGAACAATGTTACCCTAGAAGAGGGGAGGGGAGGGGAAAAAAACCTGGATTAGAGAGGCTGGTGCCTTACACACCTCTGCACACCCAGGGCATGAACAGGACACAGGTAGCACAGCTACAGTGAGAGGAAAGCTCACTGCAGGCTTCCACCTCCATGGAGGCATCACATGGGAGCAAATATAACCCAGGTCTACCACACATTGGGAAGAGATGTGAATGGCAAGCGGTCATGGCAGGAATAAAACGGTAGGGCAATGTGAGCTCTAGGGCTCCTGAACATCTGTCTACTGGTTCTCTAGTATCATAAGACCTGCTGTCAGAAAGAGCAAGTTTCCTCACTGGTTGTCAAGACAAGAGCAGCAGCAAAGCTTTGAGGGGACTTGGGATGCTAAGCCACCCTCTCGCAGGGTAGTCTGCCTAGAGAGGGTAGGATACCTTGGTGGAGTGCGAAAGGCTACCGATTCAGCTCTGCTCATCAGCAACAACTTGTTTTGTGGTGTTTATGGGTTTTTTTTAGAAGAAAAGAAGTTTACTTACGTGGAAGTCTTCATGAGAGATCTTTATGGCATAAGGCATGTTGGGCTCTTCTTTGGGCTCCACGACGCAGCCTCCCAATGGTATGACACCCTGGAGATAAACCAGCGTGCTCCAATCAGTCATCAAAATCAAGTATAGCCATTAACTAACTAGGAACTGAACTTTCACCCTTCTTCACTTGTGGGCCCCTGACCTGCCTTGCCTATCCCAGGAGGGACAATACACACAGCTCCTGAAAATCACAGGGACTCCCACCACCCTCAGGAGACCTCCAAGTAGTATCTGAACTGGGGTAAAGATGGCTCTGCTGCATAGGGCTGGAGGTAAGGCTGCTAGGTAGGACATGGAAAGGGGAGCTCTTATCAAGGAGGAGGTAATGGCCCAGCAGGGCCAGACATTGCAGATTCACAGAGTGGTACCATGAGAGAAGCTGTGTATCCACTACAGTCACCACTAGTAGGTCAACACCTCACACATGCTGTATGGGGATGGATGGGTGCCCTGCTGCCCCTAACCAGGCTGGGTGAAATCTACACTTCTGGGAGCACATGTGCTTCATCTGCCTCCAGCGACTGCAGAGGACGAAAGCAGACTCAGACCACACAGTCTCCTGATAGAGGCTGCTGCTCATGGCTGAGGGGTTAGCAGGGGATGGCTGTGACTGATTACGAGTGCAAGTACAAGTTAGGAGCAAGCAGCAACCAAAACTGACCCACCACTGGCTTTGCCAACAGCATTCTCACATCCACAAGATCACTTGATTAGGGAAACAAGGGAATACATATACTATTAAGTAAAAAAACATTGAAGCCATGCTGAATCACTGAGGAACCTAACGAGGTACTGACATGATTCTTGCATTTTTGGGGGCTTCTCTGAATTTGACTTACCTCTTCACTTACTGGGCCTGTGGAGGGGGAGGAAGCTAGAAAGAGAATAACCCCCCTTTCCCAGGCAAACGCTGCTCACCTTGGGGTGGATATTGAAGTATTTATTGCTTTCAAAACTCTTCTTCTCACTCTCAGCATAGTAGAGGAGGAAACTTTCCTTAATGATGAAGAACCTTTAAGACAGAGAAAGGAAATAAACACTGCTAGAACAGTGGTCATGGTTCCACAGCACAAAAAAATCACCACATATCTAACTCTGCTTTCTGAGCAGAAGAGTTTACTGTTCTCATCTATGCCTAAGGTGAGGTGCCTTACTTGGGCTTGTAGCCAAGAGCTAGTGCTTAACACCAAGTGCCAAGCTCAAGTGCTTTGTGCTTGCAGTTTGCCACAGCATGCACACAGAAACGTTTATTCACAGGGGAATGGGATGGTGGTCTGTGTCCAAGACAAAAGCAAAGCCAAAACCTTTTTGCATCTTGACCTGTACACGTTTTATCTAGCCCATGTGTTGCATTCAACCTCTTGAGAGAAAACTGCTTCTTTTTTCAAGGGTCTCTCTCACATGGGCTAAGAGCAACTAAAAGCTTGTTATTTCAATCTATTCCCTGCCACCCTCTTCCCTCCCATTCTGCATAAGCCAGAAGGGAAGTCTTTCCACTGTAACTCTGAGTCTATGTCAGGGAGAGTCATAGATCTGCATCATTAGGCAACTCAAGGCAAAAGATGAGCCACAAGAGTACTCAGGAGGAGGAATAAATTTTAGAGCTATTTTAATCAGAGCTCCTGGCAAAGTCTCCCCTCGTTGACCTTTGGAAATACAAAGTAAATCGATTTTTTTTTCCCCTCACACACATCACATTTTAATGTGCCTTGTTCTGCTCAGCCTTACGTGTGCTCTGAGGAACACTACAGTAGCCACAAAATATCACAGCTTCTGTAAACCAAGTCGCTAATTTGCTGGAGTGTGTCCTCAAAATCGTGATTAAAGGAGTGCCACTTTCAGCTTATTTGCATGTCCAAAATGCCCCAGGGAGAGTCCCTCTTCTCTTTGAAAACTGAGGCTACATTTACCCTGCAGGCAGTGGTAGAGGGGGGAGATATCTTACTTGACTTAGCTTCAATTTGGTCTGAATCTCTATAGCTCTCAAAAATGCTGAAGAACAGCTGAAAAAAAATGGGGACAAGTTTAGTACAGAAGTTTCAAAAGATTAACTGACAAAGGAAATGTGTTGCACTGTTCCGTACATGTTTTCTAATATGAGAAAAGAGGGATTTGGAAAGAAAGCGAAAGGCAGTAAGCTGAAAATTAATACAGAATGTCTTTTTACACTGCACAAAGCACTGCTGTGTAAATCACTTTCATGTGGTCCTGAGGACAAGAGCTCATGAGGAATCTGGAAAGGATAAAGCATTTCTGTGAACAATGAGAACAGCCCCAGGAAAACCTCCTGCTTCTGGGCAGAAAGCCTCCACTGGATGGGATCTGGAAGAGACTTCTCCGGGCAGAGCTTTCCAGTCGTGCAGCCTGAGGATTCCTGGTTCTTCCACTGAAGCCCCTGTTAGTGATGGGCTACTTGGCAAGAGGTCTGATCCATAAGAGCAGTTCTAATACCTCCACATGCCCATCACACCCCAGTCCTCTCTGGAAGCAGAGGACCTGTCAGATGAAGCCAAGCGCTGCCTCCAGGACAGATGAGCACAGCAATTTAGTACCAGTTTAGTTCCTAAAGCTAAAGAAAGAAGTGGAAGCTGGGGGAAAATTATAATACCAAAATAATATATATAATATAATTAATTATTAATAATAGTTCTCATTATTACACTGAGGGGAAAGCTTTACCACTTCCACCAGCTCCCATCTCTTGCTCTTCTGCCATGGCTCTGGTATAAACGAAACTGCCAAATGCCGTGGAAATATGAGTCATGGGCTCGCAGGGGGACCAAAAGATAAGCAAAGAACAAAGCGAAGCTTCTGAATGACTGCAGAAAGCTCAAGGCTCTCAAACTCTGGACCTATTGTGCACTTGCTCCAAAACATTTAAGAGTGGCAGTGATTGAACTTGTGCGTATTCATATCCAGAAACGTTCAGAATGTACAAACACCAACAGCAACTATTGTGCCCCAAATATTTTCTTCTCCTTGCCTACTTATCTATACGTGTTCATGTTGACATCAGAGGTGGAGAGAAGCCACCAGCTTGCTTTCTCAGCAAGACACACCGTCTTCCCATTTGCTACTCCAAAAACATCATGGTTGACTGCCTAATCTCACCTCTTGCTCCTGACCACAACCTGGCAAAATCTCTCTAAACAGAACAGCGCAACTCAGTGCAAAAATCACCCTTTTGCACTGAGCTCATTTAGTTGGCAGAGGACTGAAAAAGTGCTCATCCACAGTGCAGCGTGTCCAGCAAGTTATTTGACTAGGTAACTTGTCAGAGCACTTACTATTCACCTTTCACCCAGGGGACATCTCCCTTCCAGCCCAAGCTCATGTGCCACTGCACCTCCCAGAGGAGCTGCCTGTAACGTCCCCTCAGCTGGGAAAGCAACATGACCCTACCTGCGGTGGCTGTCCATACTCTCCCTGTAAGAGGTGCCTAAGATGGCCTGCCCATGGGGCACTACTTTCTTTCCCTGTGATGGAAATCTCCATGCTAAATCTCTTGCCACTGTCACAGACCAGGGACCAGAACAGTTTCTTCAAGACAGTAGGCAGGGTTGGGAAGGAGCATCCCAGAGAAAGTGGGGGCTGAACTGATGACACAACTTTGAGGCACCAGCCCATTTAGCAGATGCATCAGGCACATCTCTGTGGGACACAGTGCTGAGAGGGTGCACTCATCAAGGTCTCACCTCAGTGTGAAACAAAGATTGGTACTTTCAGACATATTTGCTTTCATGGCAAAAGCAGCCATGGCCCCTGCAGCAGGCTCAGAGCTGACCCTGGCCAAGGCAGATATCAGAGAGACCTCCACAGAGCAGGCAGGTTTCTGGTTCCTCCTGTCTGCATCGCTTGTGTGAGCAGCAGAAGCCTTCCTGTTTCATTTTAATTCACACCTCTGATCATTAACTCCATTAAAAAGTTTTCTTATGAGTAGCTGCATCTTCACTTTATGTTTCTAGTGCTCAGTTCAATGAGAATTTGATTTTTTAGAGGCACATGTTACCTCATCAGCATAATAAATACAGAAATAGTACCTTTTAAGATCAATTCTGCCTGGCCTGTGCTTGGTTCAGTGAATCAGAGTGAATCAGACACTGTGGCTATAAATACAAAACTAAAGTATAAAACTCAACACACCACATGAAATGGAGAAAGTCTTTTGGTCACTTTCAGTAGTCTTTTCAGGCTGAACAACCTTGAGAAACATTTGCAAGACATAAAGATCTTTAACTATATGTGATTTCTAATCTGTTAACCCCGGTTAAAGCCAGGCTTCAGTCTGTTACATATTTTTTGTCTTCTCAGTGCTCCCGATATCCCCATAGTATGCTCCAGTGGAAAACCAAAACAAAACCAAGAGTAAAGCCTAGCACAGATCTCTGAGAATTGATGAACCTCTTGCAGATTAATGAGCTTTTAGATCCCCAGTCTTACAGACGTGGAGAGAATCTGTGGGGATTTGGAATTAAAATGTATAAACTAAGAGTTAAAAATACAACAACAACAACAAAACTCCACAGCAAATAATGAAAGAAAAAAACACTGAAAAACTGGCTAGCTGATGAATGATCAGAACTTATTCCCTCATCTATCCCTACCGGGAAGGCAACACCCAAGCAACAAAGATCACTACTTTGACTTTCAGGACAAGGTCTACATACAACAAGACAAGGAAATTGATGCAGCATGATGAAAAGAGGCATGAAGTGACAGAGTGAAGGAGGAAGAGGTACAAGACTCAAGGGCAAGTTGAAGATTGAAGCAACAGCCAGGTGAGTAATAGCAGAAAGGGAAAGGATGGCCAAGGGTAAATGGGGAGATGCAGCTAGTTAAGACAAGAGACACCGAACACACTTGAATTAGGCACAGATGTGCCAGCAGAATTAAAGGGAGTACTGGAGAGACAGGGGAAGCTTTCTGAGTAAAAGCAAGAAACCAAAAAAAAGATATTTAAAAGCAAAGCAGCAAAAAGCCTAGAGAGCAGCAATGAAGATGGGAAGACCTGGTGCACACACTCCACATGCAGCTCAAGCAATACAGGAGCCATTCATGCATGGTCTATTTCTTTGGGTCACCCGTCTCCTGTCGCTAGATCCTGCACTAAGAAACCGCTGAAACCACAGTGTAATGAAACTGAAATCAGCAGAGGAGCAGTAACAGTCTTGAGTAACTTGGATCTATAGCCAGAGGCGTGATCTGCCAGGATTAGGCAAAACAACTCCTTACTGGACAAGTAGAGATACCTGATCTCTGGGGACAAAGTGCTTGCTTTGTGTCACAGAGGACTAACAAGATTAACTAGATAATCTTCGTAAGAGTGTTTGAAGTGACAGCGGCCCGAGTTAAGTATTTACATTATAAAACTGCAGCAGTCTCACTGGTCCTTCCTTCCAATGGTGGTTTTCCGGGCACCGGTCCAGGAGCGCAGGCAGCAAATCCCAGTTACTAGAGCAGCCCGGTTCTCTCTCCCTAGGGACAGCTCAGGAAAACGACTCTTTATCAGCATGTCAGCTCAGAGACCTCAGTACCTGTCCCTCCTTGTTCCTCTCCTGACAGCTCCAGGTTTTCCTGTCTGCCTCCTGGCGCCTGGCAGCTGCAGGGGCAGGCAGCCAGGCAAGGAGCGGGAAGAGGTGGATGCTTCCTGACAGCAACCAGCCAAGTGGGAAGCTGAGAAGGGTAAGAGGGAAGCTTGACTCAGAGCACCGCTGCCTCAGCAGCTCCTGCTCCCCATGTGCTGCTCATGCACACACTGCTCTGCAGCCATGTGCTTTCTAGGTTTTTTTCAGAGCAGAAAACAGTCCAAAACAGTTATCCTTTCCATCTGTCCTGCGACCACATCTAGCGACTGTTGGTAACCAGTCTGCTGGAAAACAAGGTTATGTGCCTGCTTTGCAGTGCCACAGCCAGGACTGGCCACAGAGAAGATGAGATTTCTCTCAACTGTGCTGCATTTCCCTCCTTCCAGCAGTAACCTGGCATCTCTGATGGGTTTACTCAGAGGCATCAGCATATTTTGCAGTACTTTTTCTCCTTTCAATTCCCGATGCCCCACCTTGCTTTTTTGACTCTGACTGACCACTGGGCAGATGCCGTCCTGGAGCTGTTCCCCTTAGCTCCAGAGTCTCACACCTGAATGGTGACAGTCAGCTTAGAACCTGACATGCCTATACAGAGCTGGGATTATTCACAGCAGAGAAAGATGTGTCACTTCCTACCTACAAAGGTACAGCGCCCCGTTCATGGAACATCCAGAGCAGGTTTGTACCTTGTGCATTTCATTCCATGCCAGGCTGATGCCAGTACCAGTGCGACTTTTGTATTTGAATTGACTAAACTGCTTGTTATAAACTCAAAGGAAGAATGGAATGCAGTTGGTGGAAAGAGGAGAACCGTAAATCAAGGGCCAAGAATATGCAGTGACCCAAGCTTTGACTGATCAAAGCTGCAAAATCCCCAGACCTGGGATTTCAATTTCCAAAGCACTGGACACCATGCCTGGACTTTTTTCCTTGATCCATTATCCAGTCAGGCTCCATCTTTCCCTTAAACACTCACTTTTTTTTTCTCTCTGTGTCTCCAGCAGCACTGCTGCTACAGCCAAATGAATGGGATCAAGCAGTAAGTATCATGCATCTCGGCAGCCACATCTTCATGGCTGATGGCCTGATGTGGTCAATCCTCCTGTTACATGCTGGTTTATTTCCCATCGCTTGGAAAGACTTTCCTTAGAACAAGGAGTAGTTCTATTGTTCAGTCCAAGACGTCAGGACAAAATCTACATTGCTCAGAGATCAGATCCTCAACTGCATCTAGAAACAGTCCATTTTTCCCTCTTAATTTAACTGGAGTGGGAAACTTCTCCTTTCCATGAAATAATGCACTGACCAGCTGTGTCTTGCTGGGCATGGGTGGGTAGGCCGGAGAATGGATGAATTGCTCCTTATTCTTCTTCACAAACAACTTATAATAACATGTAAGCTTTTTACTCAAAGAAAATCTCTCCTGTGGTAAAAAAAAAAAAACAACAAACTTATCGCTCCTCCTGTTCCAGTGGTTTTACTCCAGAAACCCCTTCCTTCCAAACCCTACAGACCCCCTGTGTTCATCTCCCACAGACCCATCTCTGGTCTCCAGGCCCCACAGCTGCTGTGCTAGCAGCTAACCATCCACATCATTCTTGCCCCATGGCCTCTTCCCACCTGCTAGCACTAAAATATTTACCACTTGATGAAGATAGGGGTGACTTCTAGGAATAGAACAGCACTAAATAAATAATGATAGAGAGAGCAGACACAAGCCATTTGCCTGCAAGAAATTTTTATTAGGAAGAAGAAAGCCTTTTAAGAATGTCTCCCCCATAGCAAATTACCTTCCCCTCCTTTAGTCTGTCCACTTGTTTTCCGTAACCCAGCCACATTAGCTTCCAGACATAATTCATTTAAATATCAGTGTTTGGGAGCTGAGTAGGGAGCACAAATTCCGTCTGGGATGAAAAAGTCCACTGTGGGGGGAAGTACAGAATAAAACCTGCACACAAGTCAAAGGTGGCTACAAACACAAAACTGCTTCCCAAACGACATTTGACTATTTTTCAGGCTATGCCATCTTCATAGGTTCAGACTGGACAGCACTGTCGTTATTACACAGAGCAAAACTGGGAAAGCTAGGGCTAGAAATGGATTTGGTGTGTTTACTATGCAGCCTACAGCAAAAAGGTGCCCACCAAAGGTAAGTACAAGAGGCAGCCGACAGACATTGCTCATGTGCAGGTACATTTATTCTTCAAAAAAGCCTTGAGACACTCTTTACTACCAAGGCTACAAAACTGCCTTTCAGGTCCAGAAGTAGCTCAGGCTTCCTGTGCTGTCATTTGTTAATGACTCATTTGTGCCTTTCCCCAGTGGAAAGGTGAGGAGGGGGGGAAAAACAACATTACTTTGCTCTTATCACAGCCTTTTTCATCTGCAGATATCAAACTGCTGAAGGTGGGTAAGTACTGTTATCCTTGTTTAATAGATCATGACAACAAGTTCTGGGTCACAAAACTCATCTCTGGCAGTGGTAGCGTGAAAATGGAAGTTCTTGGCTGCTAGTCTTTTAACTGAATCATTTGCCAATGATGTCTACCAGCAGTGACATTAATCTGCCATCAAGGAATGCTGGAAGGCTTACTCCATTGGATAGTGTACTTCCATAAAGAGCCGTACCATGTTTCTGTGTGAGTACCATCCATAAACAGTCATCTCTCACCTTTTGATAGCCAATGGAAAACTCTCCCATGAGATTCACTGATTTGAACAAAATACACCAAACTTTAACCTCAAAGTGCCCCACTATTTCACCATTACAGAACATACCTCCATCCTCAGTAAAAGGTTATAGCAAATGCTTTCCAGCTCCAAACCTCCTGATTCTGAGAGATAACATGCAGCAGCTTACAACTCCCTAACACCAGATGGGAGAGAATTTGGAGCCGCCTTCTCCACAGGGAAGTGAGTCTGCTTTTGCTGTTCCAAGCATGCCATCACCATCGGACAGCACAGCAATACTGACACTGGTCCACAAGCCCCAGCACACTGTACACATGCACATACAGTCCCGCATGCACTGTCAGTTCATCCTAGCCATCTCACACCCAAAGGACTCAAGCAGCTTTAACAAGTGCTAGTGAAAAAAGTCAAGCAGTTTGGGGGCAAAATACATGAGCTGACCCTTTTTCTCACTAAACAATCATAAGTATCTAGAGGAGGCAGCTAATCCCTATTACCACCCCAAGCTGCATGCAGCACAGGGTCTGGGCAGATAAAGAAAAGCACAATGGGGTGCCATGTGTGAAAAGCATCAGAAAAGCAGGGAAGCTATGCCCGAAGTTTCACCCCTAGTCTCTGCCTGGCTAACTGCACTTGAAGAGCCAAGCACTCAGGCTCTAACTTACCGCAATGCCCTTCGGCTTTGTTTTTCACCCGAGCATCCCTCAGCAACTGTGGCTTACCTCCTGGACCATTTGGCCGATTGCCTCCCAAAGGGTCTCTTCCAGAGCACACCGTAAAGCTGCACTTTGGTGCTGATGTCCAGAGCATCGGAATCTGTCTGCTCCATGGATGGAGAAGGGGATACAGAACTGGATTTTGAAGCAAACATCATAGATGAATCTGATTCTAACTCTCCCCCTCTGCGTGGCAGCTCAGGGAATCCGATTAAATGCAGTGAACCAGAAGGACGTAACCAGCCACTCCAAGAGGCAGACGGAGAGACCGGGCTATGGTTTGAATCAATAACTTGACTGCTCAGCACTCAGTCAGTAAATCTCCCCCTGATGCACAGATGATGAGAGTTTCCTCATTGTGTATTACTTCCTGATGCATTGCAGACAGCACACATCCCAGCCCAAGGAAAAAAAAAAAAGGAGCAAAGAGCCAGAGATCAGGAACACAGAGAAGCAGAGAGAGCTCAGAGAGAAAGCTCCTAGCAATAGCATAAAGCAAAATACCTCTGCACTAGAGCCAGCTTGGAAGGTTATTTCACTTGACATTGCAGTATCCCAGGCAGAAATCAGGGCGAGCTGGAAGTTTTACTGTCAGGCATCTCTTACTCTGACATGTACCCTCAAAATCTTGCACTGGGAGACAGGTTCTTCTCATTTGTCCCAAGGAAAAGGGGAGCAGACAGGGTGGGAGCCAACAATTTCTATCAGATTCCCTCTGCCATTGGGAGGCTCTTTCTGTGCCAGCCTAGCACTGCCCATCACACACAGTTCACGTGGCTGCTGGGCTCAGCTGGGCAGTGTCCATGCTGCACGTCCTGCTCAGCCTTAAAGGGCCATTGCTGATCAAAGCTAGAACATAGAATTCTGCCTGCCTCCATGCCTTGCTACATCTTGGAGATGTGGCAAGCACAGCCTCTGCCCTGCTTCTTTGGTACAAGCTCCTTCTTGGCCATAGAACAAGGACATAGGAATATGTCACACAGCTCACATAAGTCTCCATTCATCTGCTGTTTAGTACTCCCACTGTGAGCTTTTTATTCTGGTTCCTTAGGTCCTTGCTCCTCTCTTGAAACCATCCATCCCTGCAGAAATACAAACAGTCCTCCAAAAGAACCCGTTTTTTCTAATGCCCACAGGAAGGTACATTGGCATCAGATTGTTCCTTCCTGCACCCTGCCTTCCATCCATGATTAGGGTATGGGGAAAAACTGCCTTCATTGTACCTGGTAGAGCATCTGGAGTTTTGGGGTATTATATAACCAATAAAGACACATGCATGCTGTGAAGCATCTGCTTGCGTTTTAACCTGTGCCATCCTGCATGTATCGATTTTGATGCTGTACTTGCTAACTGTCAGCTCTTCCCAATGCAGTTATTCAGAAGTGACACAGTGCAGCCACACAGTCCTTTCTTATTCCTGGAGATTAGAAGCCTGGGAACTTGCCACAGGCTAGATCACAGCACAGGACATAGGTTCACTTCATTTTGTATGGTCACAGGCACTTGCAAAGCATCTTAAATAGAGGAAACGCAGACAGCCTGCCTCAAGCTCACAGGCTGCATTTGGTATTAGAGAGATTATAGATGCAGGTCCCTGATAAAAGTCACTATTGATTGCTATATTGGAGAGTCAGCAAACTCAGTGCTTTGTTACTTAACTATTACCCTGGCTTTGACTGGCCTTTGGTCCCAGACAGGATATGTCCTGAGCAGCATCAAAGCCCATCTCAGAGTGACATTAAGGGGGAGGGTGAATAGGGGAGAGCAGCAGATACTGCCTCCATCTCACCTGAGCCCCAACTTTTGAACACAGTTGCAGAAGAGAAGAAGCATTAATGCTGTAGCGACCATTCAACATACTGCACTGAGAAGAAAATACTAATCATAACCAGGAGAGGGAAAAGTTCCTTGGAGTTATCTATCTTGCACAAAGGATAACAAGGATTCTGGGCCCAAGAGTATCACCTTAATTTATAAATGTGCAGTGAAAAACCAAAGAGCTCCTGTATAGAATGATCCGGTGCCCCTGCCGTTGTAGTGCATCAGTGATTCAAAGATCTGATTGCAGTGACCTGCAGTGAGGAAAAGCAGATTCTTTTCTTTGATTCTTTACTTCTTTTTATCCTGTGCAGACCAAGAGAAAAGAGAGGTCTTTATCTCACTTTTTTTTTAATGTTCAAAGGTATTGTTTCCTCTGGAGACCTCTAGGACAAGCAAGGGACCGTGCTTTCACAGCAAATTCTTTAGAATGGGCAGCTCCAGGGGAGGGAAAGAGCAACTTGCTCTTGTCGAGTGACCAAGAGTTAAACATAGCAGGAGCCAGCAATGTTAGGGCAATAAGCAGCAGCGGGGTGAATTTTGTTACTGGACAAAGTAATTTGTAATAACAGTGGTTATGTTAAAATTTCCTTTATGTGTGTAAATAAACCGGAAGCCTGTCTGAGGGAAAGAGCAGGAGAGCAGCACAGCAGGTCTAAGCAATTTGCCTCTCACACACAGAAGGTAACGGCATTAAGAGCCAGCTGAAAGGTTCTTCAATGTTACTTCTGCCAGATGCAAAACTTCCTTCAATGGCCAGAAATTTCAGGATCAAGAAAAGAGTGTCACAAATGCATCCAGGAGAAAAGGGTCCACCACAGGGTGGGTAGGGTTCTGCAGAAGTGCCTACTCTGAATTCTCTGGGAAAAAAGAAATCGTTAGGAAAGCACAAGCAGACTTGGTGAAGCTCTGGTGAAACCTAGCAGCCCAAAAGCACAAAGACATTTATACAGAGATAATCAATTAGTATCTAATCTGCAATCTTATTTAATAAGAACAGAGGAAGGAGACCTGAGTATACAAGACCTTAGTAGGACAATCCTGTGTCACCAGTGCAAAAAGAAAAGTGCAGTTGTGGTCTACATTAGAAGTGAAGGCAGACATAAACCCTTGTACCAGACTCACATGCGATCCCTTCTGTACAGTTCTGGCCAAACCGATTCCCTGGCCCTGAAGAGATGCAGAAAAGGACTCAAGGGATGACCACAGGTACAGCTAATCCATAGTATGGCAGGACACTAAAAGGATTTCACTTGTTTAAATGAGACCAAAGGGGAAAATCTGACTGCTGTCTAGTTTCAGGCACTCTTTCCCCTCTTAAATGTATTGGTAAAGGTTGATGCTTCCAATAAAACAAATTGGCCTAAATTGGCCATGAATAAATGAGAAGCTGTGTAACCATCACAGGGAGAGAGTTGTGGAATTGCCTTGCAATGAGAGCAGCAGAGGAGAAAAGGCATTACTTGGTTGGATCTATTACATGCACAGCAACCTGAGGTGGCCAAACTTCCAAGTATACGGATTAAGCTCACCTGCTTTCTTCAAAACATTTTTTGTTCCAGAATAATAAAGATTTTACATGGATGTGTCATTCATGATGGTTTGTAAGGGAAGCAGAGATGTACATGCTGGAGAGAAAACACTGGAGCTTTACTCAGAAAACCTTTCTGCAGAGGGACAGGTTGTACTGATACAGGAATTATTTTGCTAATGTGTTGTCCCTATTTTTCCTACATATCAGGCCAAAAAAATTTTGCTCAAAATAACCTTTGAAGCAGCAGGCAGTACAAGGTAGTACAGAAGTAACGCTCCATCATCACAGGCCACCCACCAGCTGGAAGATGCCACTTTTCAGTTTAAGCATACACATATGGCTAACTGCAGCTGAGGAGAAGGCATGTATTTGTGGGGTTTTCTTTGAGTGAAAAGTTATACCTTTATGTTCGGGGCAGCCTTACAGTAGTACTTTATAGTAGAACAATGTGGAGAAATAAAAAGAATTTCCAGCTCAGGTTTTGGTTATGATATATCATTCTTGTGAAGATAAAATATCATACGTACCTATAAAAATGATGCTCCAGGTTCCCAGATGTACAGTTGTGTGCAGATGCTGTTTTAAATACAACAAAGGCAACCACCATCAATCCGTGTCTGCTGTGATAGATTGACAGTTTCTTTTACATATGATTAAATTTTTAGTATCAGATGGGAATTCAGAGCTGTCCTGCAGAGCTCAAAGAAAAGCTATTCAGCAAACAGGCATTAAAGAGCCTTTGTAGATATATAACCCCATCTGACATCATCCCTTGGTAGGAATCACATGCTCCTAGCATCCCATTCCAGACAAAGCCCTCCACCAGCTCCCAGACCTTCAAATCCACTCAGATCCATGCTGGATGGCCCATGAGTCATATTAATCAAACTATAGCTGTGGATATAGCACCTCCTCAGGAGACTTACAGGAAAACAGAAAATAAATTGTCAGTTTACTGAAGCAAAAGGATCTGATAGCATGCAGACTTGTGGACAGTAAACGCTCAGAGCCTGGCTTTTGGGGGTTCGCTTGATCAGGGGCTGACACCATAGCCAACGATCATTTCTCTCAGCATATAAAGGAGATAATTTTTGGGAGGAGGGGGGTTAATCCTACTAAGAGCTCTCTTCTGGAACAAGACTCATTCATTATTCATTCTGGGATTTTGCTGGTGGTGGTTTGGGCTTTTCTGTGTTTGGGTTTTTTTTTTGGGGGGGTGTTTCTTTGGTTTGTTTTGGGGATTTTTTTTGTAGGTGTTTTGTTCGGTTGGGGTTTTTGTTTTGTTTTTTTAAGGTTTCTCCTCAACAGCCATTTTTAGGGACTTTAGAATACACCAGAGTGGTCAGAATACACCAGAGTGATCAGCTACATTTGAAAAAGCTTCCTCCAGAAGCTAGTCCATAGGCTTCCAGCAATACACCATTTTTCCCCCTCATCATGCCTAAAAGACATGAAGTGATCACACAGCTTACACGAATGCTGGAATAGTGAAATAGGCTGTTTCCAACCAACAGCCTCTTCAAGAGCAGTAAATAAATACAGCTCTACCTGTTTGCTTTGTTTCTGTCTTTAGATTCTGAACCCACCAACACATGCTCCCTTCCCTTCCTGCGTGTCCATGGTGACTGGTGCCCAATCAGCCACACTGCTCCTGAGGCTGTGGTGGGCACAGCGGCCATGGGAGCACTCCTCCTCACTGGGAGCTGCTGAATCTCCGTGCACAGGGATGGGGAAGAGCAAACCTTCCCCAAAGAGGTTTTATAACAATGTTCAGAGCTGCTTAGCACGCACACCAGCTCCATTTCTACCTTTCCTATAGTATTTCATTTTACCTGTGCCTTACCTGCTTGCGATGAACATTATTCAGCCTTATCTCAAAGGTGACAGCAGATTGTTACCAAGGACATGGTTTGACTAGGTGACACAGCTCAGCAGTGACGGCTTAGCCAGCTCTGCTGGCAGCCTCCTGCACAGAAAACACTGAAGTCAAGTAAAAGGACTACTTATGACACACACAAGTAGTACAGGCTACATAAATGCCAGTGCAGCACTTTTGAAGGATTTCCTTACTCTTTGCACTCTGTGGTACCATGACACAAGATCTAGCAAGTAGATCAGAGACCAGGTTTAGAGCAGTTATTCTGGGGGACAGAGCAATGTTTCAAGGTGCAATTGCTTACTTAGTTCTATTAATTTTGAGGACAGAAGAAGTGCTGCCTTTGTAACAAGGGCACGGAAGCAGAATTCAGTACACTGGGGCTTAGTGTCCAGCCTGGCAATGCCCCTACCCAACTGAAGTATGTACCTTTGTTAGAAAAGGGTGAAGTTTTTACAATAAAATAATCATATAAAATAGTAAAATGATTATATTTGAAAAATTTATAAATCAATAGTGAGGCTTTGCATATTAGAAGACGTTGTAACCTTGCCGTTTTGTATCATAGTTACTCTATAACTAAATGTTACAATGGTAGTCTTGGTAGCAAGAGCTAACATAACTATATATGGTGAAGGGAGTATGGGTGTATTTAGGGAAGTATGTATTGTAAAACTCTACCCAAGCAGAACCTATGTTTAAGATCGCCAAAAGGACATACCAGAGGCAGTCAAGGGAAGATAAGAAAATGCTAGTGCCCACACAATGGTTGGGATGTATCCAAAGAACAGAAAGGTGAAAAGGACAAGCCGAGGAAGTCTCCTTACTTCATCCGAGGAAGACTCCTTACTTCATCAGGGCGACCACCAGAGGGGGCTGCGCAAGCGCAAAAGAGGCTGATGTCGTAATAGACTGATGCAGCAATCCTTGATGCATATGTATTAGTCAATGATGTAATCTGTGTTGAATATGTATTAGTTACGAAATTTTTAGTGTATAAATTGCGAACGCGATGTGACAAGGGCGAAGCCAGATTTGGGCGCGAGCCCCTGGTTTCCCAGCGCTGCAGTAGAGCACCTCACATAACCATTCCGGTGGTTATGTGTCAGTTCTTACACTAACACCTTGACTTCTCTCACCCACCATTCCTCACCTCTGACACTGGTACTAAATCCAGAATATCACAAGAATACCCATATGCATGCAGCAGTTTGGGTACAGTGGCCAGCCAAAAAAAAAATCTGCAAAAATAATAATTTGTTAGTTTCCCTGGCAGAATAATGGAATGGGAAAACATAATAGCTCCGCATGTTAACACAGGGAAACAACCGGCACACCATCAACATTTTTAAGATCTGACATAACAGTCCAGCAAGAAGTAAATGAGAGCCAAGGCTACTGTCTGCCCACTGGAGATGCACACTCCTTAGCTGTTTTGACATCACTCAGTAGATCTTCATTCAGTAGAGGAAGCTGCAGGGACCAAGTCATGTTCACGTGAAGCTTCTGCACAAAAGCAGAGTTTCATTCAAGACCAGCGGTCCCTCAGTTTCTCTGTCAAAAGAGAAACAGAACATGGGTTACTCATTGCAGTCATAAAACATGACTTGCTCTACTTAGAGCTTCAAATTCTGGAGGCAAACAAGAAAAGCTTTGACTAAGAGGTACAGTAAGGCTAGGTGTACGATACTAGCAAGGTTCTAAGCAGTGTTTTTAGCAATCCTCTTCAGCCCAGTAGAACCACAAGTATCTAATTTAACATGTTTCTTCAGACAGCAGAAGCCCATTAACTTCTGCAGACTCCAACATAAATGTAATCATATAATTACCAGCATTTTCCCCTTTCTAAGAATTTCACCTCTGCTTTTAGACTTTCTAAATACTGTGTACCTTTGGTGTCAGTCAGCATAATACAGTTTATTTTTAATTAGCTCTTCAAGCTTCCTGAATGAGGCATTTTCCCATCCATTTTTTCCATCCACGGAAAAGGCTTGTTAATCTCTAGACAGCTCAGACAAGAGGGAGAAGTGCTGTGATAAGGAGGGTGGAATGTTGTGCAATTCTGCCTGCAGGGATACTTGGGTAAGGCTTGCAGTAGAAGAATGGCTTAATTTGTAAGCTAGAACAATAGATGACAGCTCATCCTCTTGCAGCTGTGCTCATCCCTAATGAGTATGATAAAAATGCTGATGATTTTTTTTCCTTAACAAATGAAGGAACACTCTACAGCCATCACCAGGAAGCCTGAACCACTACAACGCCTTACTCTTTAGGTTTTTAGTGGTAACTTTTGTAATATAAATGCACTGAAATCACTTCCTCACATCTCCAAAAGGATTTACAACAGATTACAGTGGTTAAGTCTCCAGTTACTGAGGTGACGCTTTTATTAAACACATTAAAAAAAATGTTAATATACAGCATAATGCTTCATCATGAAAGCTGAATTTTACTTGCCTAAAAACCAAGAGCCTATCTGGGAAAATACCACCTTCCCATCCTTGCTTTCTTGCATCTGCCTGTACTACCTATAACAGCAACACTCTCATTTGTTTCAGTTCTCCTACTGACTTTACATTAATTGCATTCTCTTGAGATTAAGACAGCATACAGAAATATTACACTTTTCCTAATCAGAAAATAAAAAGCTATTAGCTGAAAAGGCTGCTTATCGCTTGAGTGAAGTAGCTAAAACATCGTGTGACACTGCAAACCTTAAAAAGCCTGAAATGTCTTACATTAAACTTTTTTTTTTCCAACCAAATAAAGTACCCTACAACTGTCCCCACGTTTTTGCTCAGATAACAGAATTCATTTCCAAACCTCTCCTTATATGCCCTGCCTGAGCACCTGTTCGAAATCACTACTAAAATTTAATTTCCAACTATTTTTTGGAATTTAAAGTTATGTCTGAGGCAAATAAAACCCTTCCAGGGAAATTCAGGAGCCTGAGAAGACAACTGTTCTTCACAGCAAGAACACAATCCACTTTCAGTTACAATGACTACCACGACGAGCATTAGAGAGAACATTTAGGTAACTATGGCTTAACAAAGGCTTTCATTTCATTGTATACCACAGGAAGAAGGTAAACTGCCTTACAGGAAAAACTGTCAATAGTAAAGGGTGAGAGCAGCTCTGGAGAGCTGTGAACAGGTAAGCAGTAGGATCGCAGGGCAGCCAGAAGGAAAGCTGAGCTGTGATTCAGTGACTGAAAAGAGCAGAAAGATGGATGGGGAAAATACAAAAACCCACCAAAACCACACAGAACAGGAGCATGAAAGATTTTACCAACAGTTTTTCCCCTTAACATAAGGACAAGAAGCAGGCTAAGGTTTTCTTCACATCTTCCCATGCGTATTTCCCATACAGGAAAAGCTGCTTTGTCACAAAGTTTCCAAAAAGAATGGAGGGTTGTAGTGTTTGCATTTTGGGCTTGGTGCTGACAAGGTTGTTTTCACTCTATACTGGGCTCTCAATTTTGTTTAGCCCATGGTGTCCTCCAGTTTAAAAGCAGCCTGGAGCAATCTTGAGCCTGTCATCTCATCCTGGCCCTCCAAAGAGGTCTCAGCCTTGCAAGCTTCAGAGATCTCCCTGGGGGGTGGGAGGAAGAGGTAGCTCCAGGGCAATGCCAACTCCTGAACACTCTGTGGGAGACAGAAACTGTCAAATTATTTCTGTATTTATAACTCTAAACCCATTCATACACACATCCAAACCAACCTGCTAGACTGCCTCCCAACATCTCCCAGCAGTTTCACACTTCAGGCTTCCAGGAGACACTCAGATGTTGTGAAGTAGCAAACATTTAAACAAAATGTACTGCCTGCATTGCGCACACCCCATTGAAGATTGTCACTGTTCTGTGATGGAGCTGTCACAAAACCCCATGCAGTAAATGACAAGCCAACTCCAAAGCACTGCACCTAGTAAAAATTTAATATAATAAAACAAATTGAAAATGGCAACATTATTTTAACCGTTCACAATTAAAGTGGAAAAATCATAAGGCAGCCATTCATGGAATGATTTTGTGTACAAATGGTTCTGAAAAAGAGATATTAAAATCACAGTTCCATACAT